TCCAAATATATGAAAAAACTTAGAAAAATCTAACCATACCCGAGTCGATATATACACGTGTCCGACCCCTACACTTGAGTCCAAATAACATAGGTTTAAAGGCATCTAACAATCCGGAAAGGACCAATACTAGACTACTAGTTGAAATGAAAAGATAAATCCTCTCTATGATCCTAGACTAGAAATCCATTTTCCAGGTTTCAAACTACTTTACAATGAAAGTAGATGAAATTTAGTCGAACGATAATATGGACAAGGGTGCCTTTTCTATCATTGTAGACAAAATCAACAGAATCATCAGTAAGACCCAAAATACCAGTAACTTATGATCGGAAGAGCAAACAAGCTGATTATACCATGATTTGAGCAAGAATTCTACTTACAGTTAACTCATTAGATATGACTTTTGAAGGCGTTGTGTCAAGTATCAAACTAGCAGAGCCTTCATCAAGTTTTCCATCCATATCCCCACCAATCTGAGATGAATATGTAAAACAATTTCATAAAATTGACAACGGTTTCAACAAACCCAAATGTCGGTAGATTAAAGATATAGAGACATAACATTCTAAAGTAATCAAGCCGATGCCACAAAGAAACAGGCACTAACACGCATAGCTGCTTGGTTCATATTTTCATCCTTTATTACATAATCATCGGGATTTATGACCTCGCCAAAATCATCCCAATCAGAAGTATTGTCATAGAAAGGAAACATTGGGGCAACACTAGAGGATGGGGGTACAAATCCATCAATCAGAACATCACGGAATCTGCCACCATGTTGACCTAACCCTGCAGAGTACAAGCAGATAAAAGATAATAACTAAGGATACAAAAGGGGAGGTAAAAGATACATCAAACTGTCACGATGGATCATGAATATCCCACACAAGGATATCTCATCAGGTTGGCGAGAAACTTCTCAATGAGATAAACCGAAAACAATAAATTATAATTATCACATCTGAAATATAATTGGAATCTATTTCCTTCTAAAATAAATGCATATCATCAAGAATAAATGAAAATAGACAAAACCTCACTAGTTTTACCGTAAACATAACGGAGGGAACTTCTATGTTGAATGACAAGGGAATTATAGTTAATAACCATTCAAATACATGAACTTATTTGTTGGCTCTACTGTAAGAATGTAAACAGATAATGGAGACACAAAGGAAATATTTATCTAAATGCATTTTAGCAATTCAGGAGACCACCTGACCTTTTTGAATCAATCAATATGTCGGAATATCACTTTGGTGTTCTCTTTGTTTTGAAACACCAAACCACCCCACTCCCTCATAATTTGAAGAAGAATTAACCATTCAAATACACAAGAAAACAAGTAATGCACAACAATAAAAGTTTATTGAATGCTCAAAACCCCAACATGTATATCAGTTCTCAAAAGACAATTAGACTGAGTAGTTTTGGGAATGGAAGAAGTATACCATCTAATGAAGAATGCTTATATGAGTGTCGATAACCATTGGATCACTTGAATTATCAGACGCATGAGAAGTTTTAGATTCCTACTCCTTGATGAGACTAGCTTTTAAAGCTTCTTCTTTTTTCAACCGGTTTTGCTCTTCTTCATAAGCAATCAATTCGTCCCCAGTCAAAGGAACCCGCTTAGACATTGTGACCTTAACAGCTTTTGGAGGTGGATCTGCCTGGAGCATACGAGCTAATGTGCCAAACTACATATACAGGTCAAAGTATCACTAACTATATTATGAGGCAGAAGAGGTAAGATAACCATTTGATCAAACAAAATGGTAATTACATGTCAGGTTCACAAGTTTTACAAATTGTTACGGTATAAACCTGATGCTGAAAAAAAGGGAACTCGGAGTCTTGGGAACTCGGAGTCTTGGACAACCATGAAGCACAAAATAATTCAAATTGATGACAAAGGGCGTAAAACCTTTGGTCTTTGAGTAAATAACCTCTATTGGCCACAAAGTAGATGCTTATCAACATCTAAAATCTGCATGAATTCAACTAAATTTAAATTCCTACATAGTAAAGAACTCACCTGCCCCCTTTCAGTAAATAGAATGAGATTTTTGACATCCGCTGCCCATTCAACAAAAATATCATGAGAAAATCCCGCTTCCAAGCTGGCCATGGATGCTAGTACAACCTAAAAAAGAAATAAAAGCTAACAGTCAACTATATTAGGCTGAGAAGGATCATTTAGATTTCCTATTTAAGAGTGGTGCAATCAACTAACCTTAGGACCATCTGGAACTTGATCAAGTTCACTCTTGCTGACTAAAAGTGTGACATGCCTGCAATGTCGGCATAACTACCTTGTACTTAATTCTCCACCAAATGAATACAGATATACATGATTTACAGCTCAAATTGGTTATATTTTTCACGCCATATAAATGATACAAATTGAGGAATAAATATAAAGAAAAATAAAAGAATAGGACACTAGCAAGTATCAATAGTGTCTATATGAAAGAAAGTACTTACTTCAGGAGAAAGGCATTGTCACGTGTAGTTTCAAAGGATTTAGCTATAGCATCACTCATCCACTCAAGAAAGCTCTTTGCATAATCAATCGTGCTTGATGAAACATATGTCAGAAAGTAGATGGGGAAGTTCAAAAACTTCAATGACCAGTGCTGTTAATGATTCAGACTTTGCAATCAATAATATAGCTAACCAGAAGACTAAAAGAACCCACTTAATTAATCAATTATCCTTACTGACCTCTTCTAAAACCAAGAGAAGTTCCAAGACACGACCAGCAGTATCGACAGGTAGTAACACATTTCCACCACCTTCTAGAGTCCTTGAAATGATGTCTGCATAAATTTCGCAATTAAGTATGATGTGTGCTGCGCGACCATAGTCCATAAGTGCAGGTGTTGGAGTGAATTAAGGTAGAAAGGATTATAGGATGGACAAATTGAATTACACTATAACCCAATAAATTCAACATCAAATATTCAAATTACCAACAAATTCTCTGTCCCTTTCCCTTTGCGGTTTAGGAGGTTGATTGTTCAAAGCATTGTAGGCATCAGTTATAAGAACAGCAGGTCGAACAAAAGACTCCAGAACAGTTCCATTTAAATGCCTGATAAAACCAATTCATCTGAGTCTAAAAAGTAAATGCTAAGAAACCAGCAATCTAAGATCACATAAAAGATAGCATATATACTTCTCTTTGCGTCGGTTGAAGTCTACAGCATATATGACATCTTCTCCATCCTTTGTTATCTTCCAAACAGTACCACCCAATAGATGGCCAGCAACATGAGGAGCAATCACAATACCCTCACCTTTTCCTAGAAGATTGTAATAGAAACAAAGACAATATAATGAGAAAGTAACATCTTAAATGATAGGACTACGTTATCAGGCCATGACATTCCTCCAAACATAAGTCTTGCGACCTACAATTATCTTCAACTTTCATTGATGAATTAATATAAAACTAAGGTTACTATAGTTCCGCGCAACGGATAATGTAATTGAGATAATTATTAGCCAAAGAAAGTTACCAGATAAATGATAGTTCTGCGAGTAGGTTAACCGAGTTACGATCTGGAAAGCAGAATCATGTCATCCAAGGTGAACAAATCGAACTCGGATACTTGCTGAAATTGGGAGACAACATAGCATTTCAACAATTAGTACAACAAACATTGAGGATTCAAAACGCAATTCCAACTCAATAAGCTCCGAAAATAAATATATAAATAAAGCGACGGCCAACGGAGATAACTTTCACCTTGCGAGAGAGATACTGATCGTACATAGTGAGAAGGCCTAGTCTATAAACCGGTTCAGTGGAATAAACCGGAGCCGAGAGTCCGAAATGTTTCATGGCATACGGAAGAGCGCCAAGGTGAAGCGTGTCGGAATGCGAGAGCAACACGGCGTCAATCGTCGAAGCAAACCTGCAAAAAGAACAAGCTACAGCACGTTAAAGTCGTTAATCGATTGGCATTTCGAAAGTTGAAGAAGAAGAAGAACCTGGAGAGGGGTTGAAGAAGGGAGGGGTCAAAGACGTCATTCCAGCCACAGTCGATTAAGAAGTTGAAGCCGTCGATTGAGACTAAGTAGGAGAGAGGGTTCTCGTTGTATACTCCACAGATTGGGGTTACCTGAACCGACGTCCCCATTTCTAGCTCGGTTCTACAGGACGAAAACAGAAGATTCAGGGCAAAGACCGAAGAAAGCTGAGTTTCAGCCGCGAGCGGCCGTTCTAGTGAAAGGCGATTTGAAGTCTGAAAGTCGTTGGAACGGCGCCGTTTAAATGTTTTCCTTTAGGAAAAACTACCCTTCTGTCAATAAAATTATGCGTCCAATTTTATTCTGAACACTGAATAATTCTTCTTTTCAAATAAGTCATTAAGATTTTTATCTAATATCAATCAAATCACTCATTATTAATGATCTAAACTATTGACTTGGCAGTTAATCGATTTGTATATTAATATAGGGTAAAGTATAAATTGTCCCTCAACTACAAGATATTACTTTATTGAGTCATCTGACTATTAAAATATATAAATAATCTCCGACTATAAGATGTTACTTTATTAAGTCATCTGACTATTAAAAGTTTTAATAGATTTATAACTTCTAATAATCAGGGAACTCAATATAATATTACCCTATAGTCAATGGACCATTTGTGTAGCTTACCCAATAATAGATATAGTTTTCATTACTTAAAAATTCTATTATTTTGATTCTAATTTTAAATTTGCATAATGACACATTTAATCTTTATTGCTTTTACATCTTCTCAATTTAATCCTAATTTTAATTATAAATATTTTAATAAATTTAACTTTCCAATAACATGGTGAATAAAAGGATATAATCTACAGTAGTAAAACTTATTAATTTGAACTTAATTTTAATATATAGCAGAGAAAAGGATGAATAGCTCTCTAATAATTTACCATCAACTGGGGAAGGCAGAAATGGAAGACCAGGAAGCGTACTAGAGCAAATCGTTCGTCTACTAATCTGCTTCTTGTTCAAACGCTAGGCTCGCCAAGTTTGTTTTCTGGCTTTCATTGGGCAAATATATTGACAAAGTCGGATTTCATAAAGTGAAACATTGAATTGTTGATAAATTACGATACTTTTCGTCGACGGAACATCCAAAGGAATATACAGCCAAAAGGTTCCATGGACCGTCACACGACGCAACCTAACTGGGGCTTGTGCCGTAAGGAGAAGCGGCTCAGACTTCTATTTGCCTAGCCTTGTCATTGAAACTCGGCATGGTTCCTTCCCATAATTCAAGTAGCTCCATCCTTAACCACGAGATGAAAATTACAGGTCCCAGCGTTGAAGGTACCTACGTGTAAAAGATCCGAGGATGCAAGTCAAAAACAATGCGGAGGTGCAACAGGGATCTCATGAACTCAAAAAAACTATTAACAATTGTTAACGGCTTTAATATAACCTAGTCGAATTTTGCTAGAGTAAACAACAGGTTTCAATAAGCTGTAATGACGAAATACCAGATAAAGAAGAGCGGGTTGAGGTGAGTGAGTCAAAATGCCAGCTGCAAGGGCGGTTACCAGTCCAACAGCATACCCAGGAAGAGCATACCATATGTATGTGTGCCCCTTTGAGGAATGTAAATCTAAAAGATTTACTGTTTCCCTACTCTTTCGATGATCAAAACAGAGGACTAATGCTAGCAGCATGGCAGGAATGGCCTACATGAAGTAAACAAAGCAATTAGGAACTCTAATGATACAAAAACAAAGATGACACCAGCCAACAAAGTAGTGTGGAACTGGTACACATTGCTACAATGTTATTCTCAAGAAGTCACGTGCATATGTTGGAGTGTTAGTCTCTAAAAACACACGAATTGAAATAATATGCTGGTTGGACGACAAGTACAGAGAACATTGATCTCCCTTGTGCAAGAATGCAAGTGTGGTCTGCAAACCAGAATTGTTTGAGAGGAAATGCTTGTTAGTTCTTCCAATAACAATCATGGTGGGAACATGGACAATAAAAATAGACTTCTCAAGCTTGAAGATGACGGTTTAAGGTTAAATGCTTGTCCAGTAAGTGTAACAACGGACGTGCAAATATTCAAGTGCATTGCATGATGCATAGCATGGGTATATGCAAAGAGAATAACGGATTCAAAAAAAATTAAACTCTAAACAGAATCTCAATGCATAAAAAATAGTACTGTGCCCAGTGAACTTGCCCAAGTGATTAATCCTTGAACAACATAGGAGACACCGATCTGAATATTCTCCATGTTAATTCATAAAAGAACTGAGATCAAAATCAAATGAAATGCAAGGATAACTACTGATTTTATAAAATAAAACACCTTCAAAAGTTGACAAAAACTACTTTTTCATATACTGAAGAGAAAGGTTTTCATACCATATCACCAAGACCAAGCATCATGAAGTCAGCTGAACTCCCATCAGGGGATGCACCACCCAACAAATTCCTTGGGAAAACAATCTTTACAGGCAGTTCTAGTTTTTTTGTGATCAATTGTAAGCCAGGGAGACTCAAACTATTAGCAACAGTGTGAACTGGGTTTGAAGCTTGTTGTGTTGCTACTGACACCATGACATTGGCCCCGAAAAATCTTTCAGAGAAGAAAACCCAGAATATGTCATACACAAACAAACATACTAGAAGCATCGCACATATTTTAATGTTTGGAAGACGCACATGACTGACAAATGCAATACAGATGGAGATACCTAACAAATTGTTCAAAATCCAATGCCCTGAAACAAGCCAAGATGCAACCGTGAGGGTGCATGCCAATAACAGTAAGCCAAGTATTCTGGTAAATGACTTTGAACAACACCGAGACACAAATGGGTCAGCCAAACCAAATGTGACTTCAATAGGCACGTGAGGGGATAGACAGAAGAATAGGGATGAAACAGATGCAATTGCTGTGAATGCGGTCAGGAGTTGCGAGACAGAAGAGAAAAGGTAAAACATCAGAAGTAAGCTGCAGGAGCTCATTATTGGGATCATTAGTGCTTGGGACTTATCTAGAGTAATTGATGCTTCTGACAAGTCATGATTCCGTTCCATTTCTTTCCCATAATTCAGAGCACAAAATGCAGATCCAAATGTCACAGCCACCGCCGTAAGTATAAGAGTAAGCGGGGCAGGCTCAAGTAAATATAAAAGTTTCCACAAAGAATCCATGACTAAGCACACAACTCTTTTTGATCAATTATCTGAAGCGTGTCTTATGCACCTAAATCGAATACAATACAAGATGAATCTCGAGAACAAAGTTGCACTATTTCTCTAATGAACACTATTAGCAGATAAATCAATGCAACCTGCAAAACAATTACACCACACAAGATTTATTAAAATACATAACAAAACAGGAGAAACATTAGTAGCTAGATCAACGAAAAGTGAAGTAACTCTAGCCCCCAGATATTATATATCATGCTTTCTTAAAAAAAAAACAAATGGAATCAGGAAGATGTACAAGAGAAAAGATTTCAATTTCATTGCAGTGTTATAACTGATACTTTCTATATCACAAATCCCTAATGAGGAACTTTAAATTGAACAAAGGTAAGCTAGAAAAGCAAAAGATGAGCAATCCATTTCATGAGTCTACATAACCCTAGTATCCCCATCTTACTTTAATTTCTTTTTCATAACATTCTTTCCTCTTATTTACATGGAAAATCACAAAATACAAACAGAAACACAAAGGGAAACATTCTTCCAAAACAACTTAAACCTAATTAATATTTAACTAAATGATTTTCTAAAAGATGTAAAGCTAAAACAGGTTGATTACAATTCAACAATTTTCTAAGTAAACTAATTCAATTCCTTAATCCAGTCGCATTCAACTAAGAGTTACATTTCCTTCTAGAGAAACCAGTTACACTTACATCTCAAGTCTATTTTCCGTAAATTTGTATGCAATTCCCTTAAAAATTCAATTTTCATATAAATATAAGAAAATCACACAAGGAAGATCAAGAACCCCATAAAACGGCTAACAATCTAGAGAGTGAAAAATTACTAAAAAAATCTATAAAATAAATTCATAAACAATATTCTAAAATAGTAGAGACAAGATTTGATCTACATACAGGCGATGAGCAAAGATCTGGGCAAAGGAAACGTAGATAAAACAAGATAAATTGTAAATTAAGGAAAGATATATTTTGGAGAGGACTTTCTACGCTCTGATTATAATCAATAAGGTCTCTTTTTTTCTTGTGCGAGGCTAAGGAAATGAGATTTTGAGTTAATTTGCAGAAAGCCCCCAATATTTTCATGTTTTTGTAATTTTAATCGACGTTGTTTTGAGATTTCGCAACTAAACGGCAAAATTGACCCGCTAAATTAAATGGGTAAAAAAATTAGTCATTAAATAAACCTGAATTTTATTTTGGGATCTACGAAAAAATGTTATAGTACAGAATAAACTCTTTACATTTAATGACGGTTTATTTAAATAATATATTTTTATCAAACTCATCACATCAAGATGATAAATTCCAATAAAAAATAGAGAAAATAACCTCAGTGACCAAAAATCCCATATAATATACGATTTTAACCAACTTTTTCCGAATTTGCCAAAATGACCAACAAAATCGCAATGCGATCGCTAATTCGCAACGCGATCTCCATAATCGCAAAGTCGCGTTGCATTTTCGCAATGCGATAGTTGAAAATCGCGTTGCGATGGTCTACAGTATCGTTGCGATTTTCCCAATTCGCAATGCGAATAAGTAAATCACAACGCGAATTGGGAAAATCGCAATGCGATACTGACTATCGCAATGCGATACTTACTATCGCAATGTGATAATACAAAATCGCAACGAGATACTGACTTTCGCAACGCGATTCTGACTTTCGCAACGCGATTTACATAGCGCCATTCGTATTGACGCGTTTTTTTTTTTCAAATTCCAAACACGAATTTTTTATTAATAAATCGGAAACTGAACCGTCCACAGTAATCGCAACTCATAACCTCAAACCCAAAAACACAACACTCAGCCCCATCTCCATCTCTCACTCTCTACGGCGAAATCCGTCCCCATCTCCGAAGATTTCCGTCCCCATCGCCGGCGAAATCCCTCACAACCATTCACAGTAAAAAATCCCTCACAATCATTCAGAAATGGAAAATCAACCTCCGAGGGTTAGTTTTTTTATTTTTATTTTGAAATTTTTGCATTATTTTAGGTTTTTCATATTGAGATTGATGATAAGTTTACTGGTAATTTCAATAATAGATTAACCATTTCACTTAGATTTCTTATTAAATTCATTCGATTGCTGCCAATACTGCTAAACTGTTTAGCCTGTGAAGTTAGTATTTGTCTTTGCTTTGTCTTTTGATTGAAGTAATGCAGAAGAAGAATAGTTTCGAGAATGAAAATCGCAACGCGGAAATAACTATCGCAACGAGATAATCGCAACGCGAAATAAAAATTCGCAACGCGAACCAAAATCGCATTGCGATTTTCATTTCGCGTTGCGATTTTTATTTCGCAGTTGCGATTTTCATTTCGCGTTGCGATTGTCTGGTCGCGATAGTCATTTCGCGTGCGATAGTCATTTCCGCGTTGCGATTCCCATTATCTCGTTGCGATTTTCATTTCAACCAAAGATAAAAAACAGTGTTGCAAATTTTAGTTTCAGAATAAACTACTATTTATGTTTATTGTTTTTGTTTTTGGTATATCTTGACAGTGTAATTTTTGGTATATCTAACTTGGTATGTTTATTGTTTTTTTGTAGAAATTTTTTTCGGCTTCATTGACATTAAGGAATAAAGTTAGCCTAGCCACTACAATTGCTTCGAAGCTTTCACCTACACAAAGAAAATTGTTTGAAGAAACCTGCTTCGGGCCATGGCTGAGAGTACAGCATCCGGGTGAGATGCTAGTTTGACCCATTTGTGGCTTCAGACCATGACTAGCGATCTACCCGACAGTATACAACGTGGTGAGGAAAGATATGGTTTCATTTTCCACCGGCGTATACTTGTTTTGGGCGGAAGGAGTTCTGCTTAATCACTGGTCTACGATTCGGACACGATGATGTAGGCCGGTACACTCGTCATATCACCCGCCCATCATGGTTATCCAGGGTTTTTCCTGATGAGTCAATAGAGAAGCCGAACTTACACGTCGACGACATGAAGAAATTGTTTAATAAGAAAGATGGTTTTACTCGGATGAATGACGTCGATGTTGTCCGAGTATGCCTTCTACTACTTTTGTATGCCGGCTTTTTAGGCAGAGAGGCCAGACAACCTATTCCTCAGGAGCTAATATTATTGGTAGAGGACCTAAATGCATGGAATCTGTTTCCGTGGGGTTCGTATATATGGAAAGCTACCTGGACTAAGTTGTCGTCTGCCTTTGATGAACGCAAAAGTTTGCGGGGCAATGGGTCGAAATACACTTTGTCAGGCTTTGTTTGGGCCTTTAAGGTAAGATTTCTATATAATGTTTTCTAAATTATAATTAATTATTTAACAATTACTAATGTTTGTTATTATATTGTTTGTAGATTTGGATATTCGAGGCTTTCCCCAGCATCCGGACATATGCATTAAAATCCTCAGATGATATTCCTAGGGCTATTTCCTGGAAGAGGAAACGTATGTTGGATTGGGAAGACTTAATACCATATGCGACAATAAAAAATGTAAGTTAACACAAATACTATCATATATAAACAAGTTATTAATAGTAGACGTTTAACTTTGTTTTAGTTTTTATATTTTTAGGAGGCCAACACTCCATTAATGAGACTGACACCCACGGAGGCTGAGCTTGCCACTGATTGGTGGCAAGCTAGTCAGCGTTTTTTTGATGGCACGAATGATGAGCAGCCTCCACTTCCTCCACTTCGAGAGCCATCACCTCACCCAGAGCCATCACCTGATCGACCCAACTATACACCTCTACAACGAGAGCCATCACCTATCCCGTCACATCATCGAGTCTCTTCTCCACCATCATCTCATGATAGGCGACCGACAAAGATGCCACGACTTCTATCTCCCTGTTCTCCACCTCCACGGGATGAGTCAAGGGAGTTACGTGATGAGGTCAATGCCTTGCGTGAGGAGATCGGTACTCTACGCGATAACGATGGTGCATGGCGTGTGGAGTGTCTACTTTACGTGGTGAGGTTGCCGCTCTACGTGAGATGGTAGTATCGTTGCAGAATGAGGTTCATACTCTCGCAACGAGGTAAGTTTAAGATTTTCCATATTTAACTTGATGATAAATTTACTCGTAATTTCACTTAAATTAACCATTTCACTTAGATTGCTTAGTAAATTTATTCGATTGCTGCCAAAACTGCTAAACTTTTTACTTTAACACTGTGAAGTTAGTATTTGTCTTTGTTTTGTCTTTTGGTTGAAAGTTTGAAATATATTTATCTTTGTTTTCACTGTTTAAATATCTTGTCTGTTTATTTACTGATATTTGTATTTTTATTTAGCGGACCGATAAGGTGGATGCTTTACGTCGGGTTTTTCTTGCACGACAGAGTTCACGCATCAAACGGCGTGCACGTGCTATTAAGTCTCTGTATACCCCAATAGTGCGAAGACACCGCAAGAAGAAGCCCTACTCGCCTATCATCCCTCAAGAGTCCACTCCTATCGTTGAAGAGACCCCTATCATTCCTCGAGAGTCCCCTCCCACCGTTCAAGAGGCCACTGTCATCGTTGAAGAGGTCCCTCCCACCATTCAAGAGCCCGATTCACATGGCGTCATATGTAGGATTCTTGAGAAACCCTCTGACGTGCCGGACATGATGGATTCAAGTTGGCTCTCGTATGAGTTACCGGCCAGTACCATACCGGTATCTGAAGAGGAGAGGAAACAACTACCAGACACAATTCTGGATAACACCCTTTGGGCTAAGACCACAGTTGATTTTTATCTACATGAGCGAAGCCAGGGGTGTTTCACTGACATATGCAAGCTCAATGATGATATCTATTTGTTGCTTGATCGGTCTTGGTGGGGCGTATTATTAGGGGTCGAAGACAATGGCTATTTCGATGGAGGGGTAAGTCTTATATTTTTCTTATATTTCATTTGATTATTTTTTTGTAAATTTATGTAAGTTACTAATATATGTATTTTTTGTAAAACAGCATATGATGCGTGGGTGTCACGTCTTCTAATAATTAGGAACTTAAGGAAAATAAAAGAAATACACGGTATACAATTATGCCGACGTCTTTTAACGCCGTTCACTTGAAGAATCAACGAGATGAATCATTTGCGTTGGGCAATGGACAAGCTAAACTTTATCCTGCATGGTGGGAGGTCGATAAGGTTAGTGTTTATTTT